CCTTAGATAATATATAGTGTCCGTCGATATTTAATATTAATATCCCATACGGTTGTCTATGATAATGTTCAGGACGGCAGTTTTGTCTGCAAGTACAAGTACAGAAAATTGCGTTAATATCAGTTGTCAATCGTCGGAGCGGGAGTTTGTCGTTTAACGAATCCTAGATACACATCGACACTCTCTGTATTCTCTTATACTTCGATCAATTGCATGGTTTCCCGAATTTCTCGAAATCGACATTTCTAATCTTCAACGTCCAGAATCGAAATTCCGTCGTTTTCGTCATGGAATGATTCGTTGGGTTTCTTGCACACGTTCTCCGATCTCGTTTCCAATTTCAAACGTGAGACATTTCATTCAAAGCACAGTGCAAAAAGAAAGTGAAAACAGGCTGATCGACTGTACAAGAATAAAACGGGAATATTAGTAGACGAGACATTCCGTTAGTAACGTGGCTCCGTTAACACACCGCGAGCATCGGTTTAGAAAGGTGAGATATGTACAACAGTCGTCAAGGGAAGAATTCATGCAACGATGAAACTGGTAATACTTACAAAATCATATAAAGATCGCTGGACCGAATACAACTATCAACTAGATACTCTCAACTAAAAGGGGGTGGTTCCATAGATATTCCACAGAATGATCCACAAACAATCCAACAGTTTTCCAACCACTACGATTTATCTACAAACCGTGAACATCGGCCATCGTTTGCCTCTGTACAAATAATCCGACAGACACGCTACAAACAAACAGAAAAACGAACGAACGGACAAAATCCGCGGCTGGTAATATATCGATCTTACAATACATCGTTCGATACTTTCGTCATACAAGGTGTACAAAAACCTATAGGATGCAATACGACGCACGATAAGTACGTGCACCCTCGGTGTTCCAGTGGAATCAACCAAAGTATCTTCGACCAAACATCCAGACACGGCATCTCGGCGTACAAAATCCCCAGAACTCTCTCGGTTCTTACCGTCGCACTTCTACTCAATCTGTTCGACCTCCTCGACGTCGGTGTGGCAATCGCTAATCGCGTCGTCACTGACGTCTTTAACGGTCAACGCGTTGTCCGTCTTGTTTATATTCTTCATGACGATCTGGGACGCAGCCAGCACGTCCAGATCCTCGAATACCTCCTTCTGATTGAAACAAGCCTCCTCGGCGAACTCCTCGTCGGACACGGTCATGTCCTCCTCGTCGGTGTTAGGCAGAACCATGATTTCCGGCGCGTTGGGTTGCGACCTGCCTCGAGGGACCTCCTCGAGGTAGATTTTGTTCCGAACCTCGACTGAAAACGGCCCGTCGCCTTCCTTAGTGGTGATCGTCTCGCCGATGTACTCGCAGAAAATGTCGGACCTGGGCTCCACGTAGATGGTAGCCTGGACCTCTTCGTCGCCGTCTATCTCCTCTAACTCGGTCTCGGCCGGGCAACCAGCTTCCGCGATTTTCAGGTTGCTAGGGCTCTCCCTCGTCTCGTTCTCGGGTTCGCTGGCGTAGATTTCGTCCACGTCGGTCAGACTGTCAACGCAATTGTTGCACTGCAGCGTCTCCTTGCTGTCTACCTCGGAAACGGACTCTTTGGCTAGCGACCCTTTATCCTCCGATTCCTCTGTTGTGATCGAGATGACTGGACCTTGTTGGCCTTCGGACAGGTGTCTCATTAATCTGATTTGCGGCGTGATCGTCGCCAGTTCCCCTTCGGAATCGGTATCGGAGAAATGCAGGGACGCGTTGCTGACCATAGCGTTGAGCTTCCTGCGCGTGGACCTAGCTTTGCGCTTCACCTTCGTGCCCGTCAGGCTGTCTTTCGTCTTCGACGGGCTGACTATTTCGTTGGCCGGCTGCTTTTTCAGCGGACACTTGTCTGGGTCCTGTTTCGTTTGATCATCCTCGGAGGACTGTTGATTAGGCTTTTCTACGGTATCCTCGTTCGGCGTTTCCGTGAGTGCCTCCGTTTCCGGCTTCTCTTCCTGCCCGTTCAACCCTTCCATGCCGAAGGACGAGATAATCCCCACGAGAGTCTAGCGGGCCGATCTTAACCGCGATTTACTAAACAACTTAAAAAAACCTGAAACTGAAGATCGCAAAGAAACAAGGAAATTAATGCTCGGCGAACGAAGACACTCGCAACTAAACGGGTCTTAATGAACGGAAGAGAACTCAAAGGGACGGTGAACAAAAAAAAAGGAAAAGAAACAAAGCTTCGTCAGTTCTTTCAGTTCTTCTGTTACGTAAAAGTGAACTCACGTTCGTGGAAATGTGCGGAGAGACGATAGGAGACAGCTTTCGATGGGAACGCTTCCAGCAACGGTCGGGAGCAAACTAAACGTGTCTGTCGACGCTGGCTCGGCCGTTTGTTGATACTATTATGTATAATTGAGTTAGAGAAGCCGTACCCTGTACACCCGAGCCGTAAGCAGATTTATTTTCTTTTGTCTTAAACGAAAATAGAATTGCCGATGCGGTGTGTGCCCGCCGATCGTTATCGTTCTTAACGTCGATCGTCGCTACGATGATTTCTGTTCGTAGACTCGTCTAGGCCATCAGTTGGACGTACGATCGTTCGATCGTTCTCAAGCTTGTTCGTTTTACGTAACATCGACTAAGATTACCAGGTTAATCGGCGCTCAATGTCCGCCGATGTCTGTGCGCACGGGCTTTCGTTTTTGCACCTTGTGCTTTGAATATTTAACTAAAAATTATCAGCTCGTTAGGTTCCGTCTTCGATCGACAGCGAATTTCGCGCGTTATTCTCGCCGCCGATTCCCGAATAAACGCCCTGCTCTTTCTACTTCTACTGATCCCGCTTAATCAGCTTCGCCAAAGAAGTCTTAGGCTATTACGGGGCTTGTTTAGCAAAGCTGTCGCGGTCTCCCGTGTACTTTACGAATTAACGCGGTTACCTGTTCGTTCCTTCTGCAGCGTGTCGGTTATGAATTTCTTTTCCGACGGCGAGGTCTCTCGCAGCTCGTCCCTTTTTTCCTTTTGCTCGCCATTGTACTTCGATTCGTACGCGTCCATCTTTTGGTTTATGATATTCGAGTCCTCGTAATCTACGACAGAGGCGGTTACGGTGTTCACTCGTGGCTCTGTTGCGACTAGGAAACACTGTTGGGAGATTACTTGACGTTTAGGACAGGTGTTTCTCTAGTTTATAGTTGTACACAGGTAACTCGCGAGTTAATAGGGCAACAAACAAATATCTAATATTTATTCTACGCAGCTGATATCTAACTTGAATTATACGATACTGTGTAACCATTAATAACGTGGATAGTGAATTATAAGGATCGTAATGATGTTTTTCAATTTTTTAAGAGGTAGACAAAAGTTTGCACCTAGGAGGCAAATTTGATGCGTTTTCAATGATTACGTGTAATCATACTAAACAGTAGCAAATTTGTGATTGGAAATATCGCGAATTAGAAAAGGAAATTAATAGACAATTGATGAAAGGTGAACAATCAGTCTAGCCACCTTCAGCCTAGCCATCAAGGGATCTCCCAGCAGTATTCAGCGATGACTGTAATTTGGCCACTCACCTTTCAATTTTTTCGTGTCCTCGATCTTGGTACTCTCTGGAAGAACAATGTTTAACACGCAAATCGGTTGCTGGGGTGGCTCACCCTTCGCGACCTTCGGCTCCCGCATGAACAGCATCCTAGCGACAGGATCCAGCAACGGATCCTTCACCTTCACATGGAAGGACAGCCGATTTTGGCGGAAAGCTTTGAAAGTGAACTTCAATTGTACACCTGACTTTGTCACTGGCACCAAGTTTCCGCTGAATTCAATGTACAGATCTTTTCCATCTAGAGCCTGTAATTAATCGATTGAACGTTATGTAATGTAAAAATACTCCGTTTCTTTTGTTCAATGATTCGATAAAGATCCACGTGTTTTACGTTAATTTAAAATGAAAGGAGGTTCTACGTTAATTTAAGTCGGTAAACTGGATCATGCTTCGTCATGAAATTCTATTGGTACACGTAATTCGATAGGATGTAATAGGTATTATGTAATAATCAATAATTACTTCGACGTCGCGGCTTTTTACAATTTCGACAAACTCCTCTTGCCTTTCCAACGTGTGCATCCCTTCCTTTCCGTCTGTCATGCACAATATTCTCAGAGTAGCTTCGAACACGTCTGTTCTCTTCGTGTAGATGACGAAACTGAAGGGAAAATGTATTCGCTTATATACTTCGATACACATTGAAAATTATATTATTATATACTGAAAATGAGACTGGCTTGAGAAATATATAACTTCCATTTACGAAAGAAACTTAGAGACCAACCGAATGTTCGTTATTTCATTGTGACACTCACTTTATTATATACGGCACGTACAAAGACTCTTCGTACAACTCGGTAGCCATTTTCGAGACCGCGCCTATGTTCCTGCAATCCATTAACCAAAATCGGGCGGAGACTGTCGTGGTAAAGGACACTCTGTCGTTCATAAATGTCAAAGGTGTTGAACCAGTGACGTCTTCCCACTGCGATTCACTTGTACCTCCTACGTTCAGCGATGCAACAAACGCAAACTGGTAGAGACTATTCCTGTACAATCTCATTTGAATTGATTCTGTAAACGTTCTACCTGCAATGCTACAAAGCAAACGCAGCGTCGGTGTCTCTCCTCCATACTGATTAATCATTCCCTTGTTCGCAGCTTCCGGCACTGGTATCGTCAAAGTGATCGGCTTGTGGAATTTACGTCTCCTCGGCTCTATCGTTATCACTGGCGAAACAGCGACGCAATTGCCGAGCAATTTCGCTGTAAGCTCTGCTGGAATCACGTGTGCCTGCAACGAAATGATTTAACCCCTTCAGAACGGAAATCGACATTTTCGTATGAAGCTTTCGTATTTGAACGACAATGTCGCGAACGGATAATTTAATTATTCAAATAGCGAGAGGTCGTTGTCTCTCTTTTTCTCTAGCATTTTGAAGTTCGATGGACACTTTAGGTTTTCTGTTGAAGATCTTGGATATTTCAGAGAATCTTCGTCCATAAATATTTAATAGGAAATTTGTTCTAATGACTCCTATGATTCACCTGTAATCCAACTTTAATCTTCTTCGTCAATGCTCCAGGAGGAAACACTGCCTGCACGTGATTGGCCACGCTCGATATTAAAATACCACCTTCGGCGCCGATTACGTGGACTTCTTGCTTGATTCTCGTGACAGCAGCGAAATATTGTGGAAAGTCTGTCGTTATTATGCGAGTGATTCTGCCGGAATGAGTGGCACTCATTTGTGGATCTGGAAAATTGAATTCAATCTTACTCTTTTGAATGAATATATCAAACAACCTTCAATATGTTAGTCTTTTGCACTGCGTATTTTAATTGATATTTTCAAATGTATAAATTCAATGATGGAAGAAGATAAACATCATTGAAAGATAATTAAAACAATAAATATAAACGTAATTGAGAAAAGCGATTAAATCGTTTATATTCAGGCAGTACCATAAGGAGTGTTCAACAACGTGTCATCGTTATCGATAGAGTTATCGTGCTCCTTCCAAGTTTCTCCATTCTCGCTTCTCAAGATAATGATCTCTCTCCCTTTGCCTCGGATAGAAGCAAAGTGTGGTATATCGATTAAAACGGGCCTGAAAAGGAACGTGGAATCTCCATAAGCCTCGATTAAAGATTGACAAAATATGAACAACTTAATGAGACAACTTCGAAGAAACTTTCAATCGATTAATTAACGTTTACCCTAAGAAGGTCGCGCCAATTGGTCCCATCTCTATGATACGAGTCGCCAAAGCCTCTCCCTCCATCAAAGGAGGAGGATTCGCCACTTTGCTGGGTTTGATCAATCTACACGTGACACGGATCGGCATCGTTGCTCTACGGGGTGGCACGATAATACGCACGCCACTGTGCCTGCACCCCTTCATCGCACCCCCGCGTGCGTCCACCAAGAAACTTACTAAAAATCTAAAATTCAAGAGAAGTAGAATTTTCTGAAAATGCGTCTCTTTTCCACGGCAGGTGGCTCTACGTGTGAGGGACCCTGCATTTTTACTCTAAAACAACCCTACCAGGAATATCGATTAAATTTACTTACGATCTGAAATGTAGTCGGCTAGAAATAGAAATATTTGTCCGTTAATTAACGTGAACTCTCGAAGAGTGTTTCATGCACCGAATGCGAACGGTTTGTTCGATATTGATCTTATCGTTCATGAATATTAACGCGCACGTACCCGAGATTGTAACCCTCCGTTTCGAAGTTCTCCGCCAGACAGTAATTATTGCTTTGCGTGAACTCCTCCTGCTTGCCCTCTTTTGTAACTAAGAATAAACGTATTATTGAACTACCGGGAATTAATCGTGACCTATTTCGTTTAACCCTTTGCACTCGAAAGTCTTTCGCTAGAAACACACGACGTTTTCCAATGGAAACATGTGAACAATATTCTTTGTAACTAACTTAAGAAAATGTACGTAAATTAAGAAACATAGATATTTGATTATCGAGTATTTTAAATCAAATAACTTTAGGGTGGTTTCTTAAAGATTCATTAAAATATCTAATATTATTCCTGCTGCAATATTGGAGCCAACAGAGTTCAGAGGGTTAACTCGTGACGGTCAACAACGTGTTAATAGTGCAAAGGGTTAATTGATAACAGTATTAAAATATAGAATATTAAATTGCCATCTTAAATTAAATAGTATATTAAAATCGATACCTTGTCTATGTATCGGATCGTCTCTAGTAACATCGATAGGAAGAGAATCGTCCCTCAAGCTCTTCATCAGATCCGCGGTAAGATATCGATATGGCTGCTCGCTGATCAATGCATCCGAACCTAAACACACAATGTATAAAATAAATCGTAATTAAATTGCGTTTCGAGGAGAATATAATTAATACCTCCTTCATCGTCGGAGTCCGACATGAAGCTCGTTTCCTGCAGACTTTCCGGTGCGATGACTTTATACTTCTCATCCCAGTTTTTGTTGTCAGGCGCCAATGTGTCATAAGACAATCCCTTCAATGCTTCCGTGACAGATATGTATCCTAATTTTTGAGCTATATTCAACGCGGTCAACCCATCCTGCAACGTAACACGGTTTCATTTCGTCGATCGGGGGTTGCGGCATCGTCTGCGGACGTTTATGCAAATTTCCCGGCCTATCGATCGCGTACTAATTGAGTCATTCGATGGCCAAATCGGTCAACTCCATGGAACAAACAGCAAAGGGAAACGATGGAATAATGTACATCTCGAATTTTCCTTTAAATGGAAAATTGCATAAATAGTATAGAATGTATGTTACTTCATTATTACAGGCGCAGCTTTAATCACCATGTAAAACGAATCGTATATCAAATTTCAAGTTATCCTTATCGTTATTGCGATTTTTATACGCTCAACGAAATTGATTTTACTATTTTATATTTATTTGAAATTTTATATTCGTTTATTTTAAATCTAAGAGGCCAATCGTTTTGACTGTATTTAGAGAAATTCAGAAAATGGAATTGAACGGTTCAGGTAATGAGCTTAATTATAAGCTTCGTCGTTGCTACTCACGTTGGTCCGAGCTTTGTGGGACGCGTTCCCTTCTATCAACGCGGTGA